TGCTTTTCCAGAACTTAAAGCAAAATATAACCTACAACATTGCCGCCCTTTGCTACTGTTGCTATGTAATGGGACTCCAGCATAGCAAGGCCTCTACCCCGAGATGGGTGGGGGATTGAGGGAGGCATTTAAAACTGCTCTGCAGGATAAGGTACCAGAAAACGTTCACCTTCCCCTGATGAGTGGTTTCCTTGCCCGGAACACGGGGAGAGGATGAGTCACATGGCAGTGGGAGGGGTCTCAGGAGGCAATGATGCCTAACCCTGAACTTGGAAGTTGATCCCCAGCCCGTGCAATGCTGTAGCCTCTTGGGTTCTCTCCAATTTTTCCATAAAAGTGCTATGCGCTATCACCCTGTGTTAGTGCTGTTTAGGGAAGTAAGGGAGGAAGAGGGGCAAAGAACTCCTCCAGGGTCAGAACTGAAAGTAGGGGAGGACCAGGAGAATGCAGACCGCCAGAGAAGCCTTGGGAATTGTAGGTAGGGTGCAGGACGGCCCAGAGCCCCGTGGGATTGGACTTGAATCAGTTTATTAACAAAAGGAAAAAGGGAAGCAGTAATCTCAGAAGACGCAGTGCTTGGATATGCCTAGATTACTTGTTTATGGAAATGACGAACTGCACTCTCCCTGTTTGCCAAAATGCAGATCAAGGCCAACAAAGACACTGTTACTGTGCCTACCTTCGAATGAAAGCAACGTGTCCAGGTATCATTCTACAAAGGCCCTAACTGTACTGAAGTGGTTATTTGCAAAAACATGGTGGGAAGAAGAGCTTAGAAGTGTCCCCGGACATGGCGTTTAGAAAGAACATCCTCTTCGGGTACTTCCTGTTTGTACTTCACAGCTTTGAAAAGTGAAGTTCCTAATTGTTACTCGGTATAAATCCGTGATGAGTTCGTGTTGAAATTCCGCTGAGGAAAAAAAACATAAAATGCCTGTGTATTTGGGTTCCTTTGATCACCTATCTACTTTGATTTTCTGCAACTTTTGAGTGTTTTCTCCCTTCCTTCCTCCCTTCGTTTCTTCTCTGCTTCATTCCAGAAAGGTTGTAATAAGTATACTTACAAAGACAGGGAGAAGGGAAAATTGGACACTTATAGACAGGTTTGTAAGATTGAAAAAAAAAAACCCCAAAAAACACAGTTTTCCCGGAGTAATACAACTGTTTTGCTTCTAAAACCAGTGAAACAAGTCTCTGAGGATTCTTATAAATAGACACTGTGATATAAAAAAAACACACACACAGCTTGACAACGATCTGTAAGACAGATGACAGTGAGAGTCATTTGTGCCGGTCCCTTCCCTGTCTCTCAGCACAGGCTGATGACATCACCCAAAACAGTTCAGCAAGACCCGCTCTGCAGAGGGTGGGAGGCGGCAGGAACAAACTGAAACAATATACCCGTTCTCAGTTCCTCTGCTGACCTGATTTGATCCAGGGCTGGACTCTGGAACATCTAGAACAATACCCTCCACAGTGTTTCAATCAAACGACTGACAAAAATTGGGCAGCAACGAACACGTTGCTGGCAAAATGAGCACTGTGAGCTCAGATGCCTAATTTTAAAAGTGCAGAGGGCCCAAATCCAGGAGAAATTTTGCTGTTTTCGTTGCTTGTTCATGCAATGGTCGAAGAGGTCCAAAGGGACGAGCCGGCATTGGGGGCGCTGAGCAGTAACTATTTGCCGACTAGCATGGGCGTATTTTAATAATTTAACGACTTGTATGGATGCAGTCACGTACACCAGCTGGATGTCAACCCTCCAACAAATACAACCAAATTCTAAAAAGCCAAAGAATGTTTATTTAAGACTTTTTAAACTTGAGCTTTACGGACTCTGCTTCCAGGTCCATGGGGAGAGTCCAGGCACGTTGTTTATAAGGCAGACAATAAACAAGGCTAAATTTCACCAACCCTTCCCCTTAAAACTCCCATAGGATGCCATCTGTCACCAGTGTTTATGGCAAAGATGTGATGAGCCCAAGACAGTTGATGGACATCTGCCCGGCCAGGTGGCCTCTGAAGTGTCAGGAGACACAATGTAACATACTGTCAGTTTGTTTCTAGCACATCCTCCTACAGCCCACGTTGAGCGGGCCCAACTTCTGGATCACGGCTAGCACAGAAGGCATGATCCATGCCACAGACAACCCCAACACAGGGCACCGGGAAGGTGCACGCCCAGCTTCCCTGGGTCCGGGGGTTTCCACTGGGGCAACAGCACTCTGCAGGCTGGGTTCCGCTTCATTGGACAGAAAACCCAAAATAGCAGGGGCTTAAACACGTGGGCTTCCTTCTGTCACGTAACAAGACCAGAGACAGGCAGTCCGTGGCCCCAGGCTCCCTCTATCATTCTGAGCCACCGGCGGCAGCACAACCATATGGCGAGGTCACCTTATCGTCCAAGATGGCGGTCACACTTCCAACATCGCGTCTCCATTCAAGGCAGCAGGAAGGAAGAAGAGAGAAGGGCAAACCGGGCCCTTTTCTGAACCAAGTCGGCTTCCTTTAAGTGAATTCTTAGAAAGCCCACTCAACGTTTGTGCCTATACCGCATTGGCCACATCTAGCAAGGCCAACTGAAATGGAGTATATTCTTTTAGCTGGGCACGCTGCAACCCAGAATGAAACTGGGTTTTGTTTGCTACGAAAGAAGGGGAGAATGATACTAGGTAGCAACCCACAATCTCTGCCACAAATCCCAGGGCACAGAACAGCGAAACAACACAGCATGGCATTGCTGATGTATTATGCACGCTGGACTAACCCAAGTCAGGAGAGGAGCCAAAAACTCTGTACCACCAGATGCTCTCTCAAGCCAAAAGGTTCAATTTTAACTTTTTAATACAAAACACAAATTCCTTCCTTCAGGACCCCACTCTTTGACTCGGTACTGAACTCTTCCCCAAATGCCCCCTAAAGTGGAATAATCCAGGTATGAGTGGCTCCACTGCTTTCTAATATTTTCCTAATTCACTGTTTGTTTGGTTTTTTTTAATCACAATTCCATTAACATCATCCCACTGCCTGGGCAATCAGAAGTGAAGTATCTACAGATCAGCCTTGACTTTTTTTGTTTTTTTTGAAGACAAGCAATAAACGTAGATTTTTTTTTCTTAAGGGAAGACAGAAATCTCAATTGTCGGGGAACCTGGGCAGCTCAGTGGGTTGAGTGTCCAACTCTCACAGTTATAAGATCGAGCCCCGCGTCAGGCTCTGTGCTGACAGCGTGGAGCCTGCTTGGGATTCTCTCTCTTCTCTCTCTGCTCCTCCCTTGCTTGTGCGCCCTCTCTCTCCAAATAAGTAAGTAAACATTTAAAAAAGGAAAAATAGGTATTGGGGCACCTGGGTGGCTCAGTCGTTTGAGCGTCCGACTTCAGCTCAGGTCATGAACTCGCCCTTCGTGAGTTCGAGCCCGGCATTGAGCTCTATGTTGACAGCTCAGAGCCTGGAGTCTGCTTCAGATTCTGTGTCTCCCTCTCTGTCTGCCCCTCCCCCTCTCATGCTCTCTCTTTCTCTCTCTCTCTCTCTCTCTCTCTCTGTCAAAAATAAATAAACATTAAAAAAGAAATTTAAAGAAATAATAGGTATTGTGACAAATTCAAGAACTGTCCCTAAGCTAAGGTAGAGCAACTGCTACCAGTGCTCCTGAATTTTTTAAAGATAAGCTAGAAATTCATATACTGTCCTTAAGAGAATAAACCTAAATTTTATACAATTTTAGTGAATATACTAATTCACGTTCAAAAAAATAATGAGTGGGCCCCCAGCACATACTGAATTACTCCCTAATTGGTTCAAATATGTGTATCTTGTCACAGCACCAGGCTGCCTGATGCTATCACTTGGCCAATGAATTTGTACCCTTCGTGGAGGGAGGAGTTTCAGGGCTGCTTCAGAACTTGGATAGGGTCACGGAACTGAGAAATATGAGCTTGGTTATCATGAAGAGGAGATTCAATCACTTTTTTATTCCCAGTGAATGAGAACACCGTGGTTTTACACCTGCTTTGTTAACAACGAAAACCCTGGCATTATGAAAAATTGGCGTTAGTGTATGTTTGACACAAGCTTTAGTGACATCTATATTCATGAGTGATTTTAGGGCATCTATCAGCAACCACTGGAACTGTACTTTCCTGGTCCATGTGTTACATGTTTTCAACTGGCCAGATTTTCCTATTCTTTCCCTGTAAAAATACTAATAAACATAGTGTGGTTCACAGTGTATGCTTAACCTCCATAAAGGAGTAAGAATATAGGATAAAGAGCATAGAATTTGGAGGCAGACAAACCCAGGTTCAGATCCTGTCTATGCCATTTACTGGCTACAGACTCCTGAGGAAGGAATACCCCTCTTGTGTGTGTGTGTGTGTGTGTGTGTGTGTGTGTGTGTGTGTGTAAGTAATCAACTTCCTGAGACTCATTTTCCTCATCTGTAAAACAGGATAATAAGCCCACCTCACAAAATTATTATGAACGGTAAAACAGTAACGTAAAGTGCTTAGCACATCTCCTGGCCCACATGGAATATACAAAATATTACTAGCAATTTTCTTTGGTCATTTAGTGCATGCCTCAGCTCAGAATATGCTTTCTTGCTTTTTTTTTTTTAATTTTTATTTAATTTTTTTTAATGTTTTATTTTTATTTTTGGGAGAGACAGAGGATGAGCAGAGAAGGGGCGGAGAGAGAGGGAGACCCAGAATCCGAAGCAGGCTCCAGGCTCCGAGCGGTCGGCACAGAGCCCAACGCGGGGCTCGAACTCACAGACTGCGAGATCATGACCTGAGCTGAAGCCAGACGCTTAACCAACTGAGCCACCCAGGCACCCCTGTTTTCTCTTTTTAGCCATAAAGTAGGTCAACTCACACTTACCAAATACTCATAGTATATTTAACTCCCTACACAGTACTTGCAAATAACTAAGAAAATTTTCAAGGTCTCAGGTATAAAAGTGGATAGATGGGCAGACTAACACAACAGGAATTTAGTTAATGTAATTTATAGGCTGATTCATTTCTCTGCCATAAAGCAACCCAAAGTTTCCCTGCTACAAAATAGCACTTACAGAAATACACATTTGTAAAGGTCTTCTGAAGGACCAGTTTTTAGTACTGTAAGAAATGTGCACCATCGGTGGATAGAAAATTTGCACACACATACGTGTTCACCACTGTAGCACATCCACATGGCAAGGGACACCTTCACAGCGAAAGGTTTAACCTCAGGCTGGACGCCAAGGAGAAGCTCATTCATTTATTCCAAATACATGTAGTGGACTTGTGTTGTCAACCAAGATGAATTTCCTGAATTTACTCTCCACCTAAAATAACCAAAACAAAGGACACAATATGAGCCACCACGGATTTTCAAGAAACTCTATGTCAAAGGATAGCGATCCCTAAAAGATGAAAAACAAGTGAGGTGAGCCCTGTGACCACCGCATCTCACTGCCTTGAAAGAGTTTGGAGGGAAACACAGGCAGAGCCCAGCAGACTCCCTAAGCTAAGTAGAAACAGTGACGAGTCCAAGGCAGCTAGAGTTCATAGACAAAAGTCCTGGAAAGAGCTTCCGAGAAAGGGGGAACTCTGAAGAGTTCTTGGGCCCTCCTCCAGTAATTGGCAGGATACTGATCAGCACGTGAATATAAGGCAACCATGTGGAGCTTAGGAAGAAAGCACCCAAAAGGCTAGGGGAACAGCGCGCAATACCCCACACAGGGCTGGGAATAGCGCCTGTATGTATCTCTTGCCGGTTCTACTTCTCTAGTTGAACACACACAAATATATAGAAAGGAATTTGTTACAGGGGATGATCGGCTTATGTGACTGTAAGGGACCTTTAAGTAGCTTCTTTAGGACTGCATCTCTGCATCTGATGCAGGTAAGGGAAAGAAGAGAAGATTCAGGCAAGCCGGAACCCTACAAGCAACCACATGCTGGAATCGCACGAAGATGGCCTGACGCTCGGGTCCCTTCTTGTTGCCTCGGAGCTTAGTGCGAGAGTGGACCACAGTAGCTGAACCTTGTGTCCCACCCAGCATGGGCTTAGTGTACCAGTGTGGGTCCTCTGAGAGTCAGACACTGACATGGGTTTAGATGCGCAGGATGTGTGGGGGAAAGAGGGAGGAGCCGGAGGAGGTGACCCTGTGAAGGAGGAGGGAAGAAGGGTTGGATAAGAGACTCAGACCTCAGCCCAAGGTTAGGAAAGTTCACCCAGGCCAATGGAGAGTCCGTGAGGAAAGGTGCCCATCAGTCGAGTCCCACATCTGGAGAACAGCCCGCACCGGCATCCCTGTTGCACAGTCATCTGCTGGGAGCAGCGGGTGGGAAGTGTGGCCTCAGCAGTAAGCAAGGTAGAATTCAGAGCCCAGTGTCTGGGGCTGTTGGTCAATTATGCATGCTGAAGCAGGGAATCTGAGTGGCGCATTATCACCCGCCTGCCACAGGAGGATGGATGAGGACCCAAGGTTCTAACCAGACAGTACATCTTCATAACTAGCAGATATAAAAAAGAGCCGCATAAAACCCACCATTGTCTTCGTGGTAGGCAAACTGCTGGGGATGCTGTTCACTACATCACAGTGTCTCCTTTATGAGGACCCAAGAGAAACATCTACTGTGGCTCAGGGCCGGGCAAAGTCATTCCTCCTGCACAACTGGTATGTTTTCATCCTGTAGACATACAAATTTTCTCATTGATTTTCCCTTTGTCTTAACCAGTTAAGATCCAGACCTGGGGTCTAACTTTAGCTTTGGGGCTTTTATTTTTCAACCATTCTACCTTTTTTTTATTCTTTCCTGATTCCTTTAGTCAATAGTCTTTTTTCCCTGCAGGTGATCTATAATCCTTTCTGAAATAAGGCGGGATATAATTACGTTCAACTAGGCCAGTACCTGTTAGAACTAAAAAGAGTAGTTTTTAAATGCTTCAGTTTATTCCTTTTACGGTAACTTTACATACAGGTCAACCCTTCTACTCTAAACCAGCCCTAATAGAAACAGTGAGCAACCCACGTGTAATTTTAAATTTTCTAGTAGCCACATCTTAAAAAGGAAAAGGAAATAAATGAAATGGAAACAATTTAAACCTTTGAAAGGCCAGTGTATACTTTATACTTAGAACATGTATGAATTTGGACCAGCCACACTACAAGTCCCCGCCCAGTGGCCACATGTGAAAAATGGTTTCTGTGTTAGACAGTGTAAGCCTAAAACAGGCCTACCAATGACCAGAAAATCGGAAGAGTTTTTAAGATAATTGTATCTAACCTATGTGATTGCCTTTTATTAAAGATTTCTGAGGTCCTGGGGGTCTCTGACACAACACTAGGAAGTAGAAAGGAGTTCTCCCAGGGGTAATGATCATGAAATCCCGAAGATACTCTGTGTGTGTGTGTGTGTGTGTGTGTGTGTGTGTGTGTGTGTGTGTGTTTAACTTCTCTATGTACCCTTGTTATTTTATTCTTCACTAAACCACCCTTGTCTCCTTCTGAGAAACAATGTAATATAAAATGGCTAAGAAAGAAAACAGAAAGAGATATGCATTTTGTATGTCCTGTGCTTCATCACAGTAGTGTTAAAAATTACTTTAAAACATGCTTACAGAGGTGTTAAAACCAAAGAACACAAACCATCATAGTTGTAATCAACAAATGGGCAACCAAAAAAAATGCCTGATTCTCCTTGTTTTGGAACCAGCTCTAAAACCTTATACCTAAGTTTGTATTTAAAAAGTATTACTCATTTACATCAAGATTGGAAGACCAAAATTGTAGTAAGATACCTGAGAGTTAAGAATTTGAATTTTTAAGGCAAATTATTTAACCTAGGAAAGCCTCCATTCCTACATCTTTTCAATAGTTATAACTAAATCACAGAATGGCTATGAAAATACGTAATAATATTACGTATAAGTCCAACAGACAAATAGTAAGCACTCAGTAAGTGGTACCTGTCATCATTAACTAGAAAAGATTATTAAAGCCAGGTGTTCTTAACTTGGGGTCTACAGATACCTGGTCCATAGACAAAACTGCAGGGTTGTGGGGAATCCCAAAACGTGGATGGGGAAGAAAGATTACATCCACATTTTCGCTAACCTCTAAGCAAAATTCAGCATTTCCCAATTATGAATATTCACCACAATAGTATTAGAAGAACCTGTCTCTTTGCACTAATAGAAGTTACAGGTGTTTTCACGTTACATTTCTGATGTTACAGTTATGTCAAAATATCTTTTATCGTCTCTCTGAAATCTAGTTGTCATTACACCTGGTGCTAGATCTTAATGCATTAGTAAAGAAACAATACTATGCTATCAACGTTTGTTTTTAATTTCGAGAAGCGTAGTTTGCTTTATAATCGTCAATGTTTTATTTCATGCGCTTAAAGCATTATTCTGAGAAGGGGTCCATGGGCCTCACAAGACGGCCATGGCACCAAAAACAGGTTAAGAATCCCTACATTTTAGTCTCTCTCTTTCCTTCCAGAAAGCCAACCAAGTTGGACAATTGAGCACCTGCCTGGGTGAGCCCATTCCCAAAGTCTCAGGTTTGTTTTCTGTCCGTAGCTCGCTGGAAACGATATTCCAGTCCTGGAACCCGACTCTGTATCAGTCAATTTGCCAAGCTCGCCTTCCATTTACGCCTGGCACCTGTCCTGTTCAAGGTCCTGTGTCCCAAGCTGACAGGCTGTTTTTCTGGTACGTTCGGATGACACAGCCCTGGCCCCCCGCTGGACGCCGGGCCCCTGGTGAAGCGGGGCAGTGAGTGTGCAGCGTGGTCCAGGCCCAGCAGCATCTGCGTCTCCTGGCAGTTTGTCACATTTGCCAATTTGCTGGCTCTCGGGGAACACCGCAGCCGTGAAACGCACCCGGGGCTATCAATCCGTGTTTTATCATGCCCTCCGGG